AAAACTAACCTCTACATTTTATTTATTTATTCATATTGTTAACAGAATTAATGATATAAAAACATATCAATATTTTCTTTTGTTAATAAGTAAATTAATCAAAGTTGGCTTAAAATTTAATTAATCAATTTCGAGTTTTTTAATTTAAAAAACTTAACTAAAATTAGGTATTAATATAATTCAGGACCTACACTAGAAGAAATGAAGGATTCAGAATGAACTAATTTGTGGATAATGTGAACTAAAATCAATTTTAATATTTTTCCTCATTGAATATTAATTTCGAATAAAAAAATTAAATAACAACTACAAAATATCATAAAATGAGCATTATATATTGAAAAATATTGTGGAATAGACAGAAATCATAATTAAATAAGCAAAATATTGTAAAATGAAAATTGAGTAAAATTATCAAATGGATGTGAAGCGTTTTATACACGTAGGATTTGAACTGGTTTTAGATACTTGAACAATTAGGCAGTGATAATAATCAGTGAGCAATCAGTGACTGGTTGGAGAAGTGGACGCTTTTTAACTTTACATTTGATCTGAACAAGTAGTACAATGGTGAAAGTAGTTCAATCTTTGCTGTGAAAAAAATTTCAGTCAAAGTTGCAAAACTAGTTTTTCAAATTTTTCCATAAATTGTTCATCATCTCTTTTATTCATCTTATCTATTCTATTAATTCATATATAATTTCAACAATTAATATTCTAATATCAAAATATGTAATAAAATTTTGATCAATTATTTTTATTAAAAATAAGCATAATAATTAATATTATCATAATTATTTTAATTTAATTTAAATTTTTTATCATAGTAAAACTTTTTAACATTATTTACAGGTTTTTTTTTTTTTTTTTAAATACTTATTTTTTTGAAAACATTGTTAGAAAAAATTCACCTCATTAAAAAATTTAGAAAAATTACTTGACAAAATTAGTGTTTGGATTAATTTTTCTTTTTCTTTTGTTTGCATTATTTTTTAACATTTTTATTTTTTCTTTCAATTTTTAAAAACTAAAGGATTTAGTTAAAAAGAGACAATACAACTTTTTTTGCATAATTTTGCAATTTTCTAAAAATTTGTGTAATTATTATTTTTTGCCACAATTTGTTAAAATTCTTATAATTATCAAAAAAATATTTTTTCAATTATTTATTTTTGTTATTTAAATTTTGATACATTTAGTACTTATATCATTGTTATTATTATTATCATCAGTATATACTTTTTAAGAGTAATTATTACTTCGATGGATTTACTTTTTCTTATTGCCATTTTCAAATGCCTCAGGCAGAATCGTCATTTTTTATTACTCTGACATTAATTCACTGATGGAATTTTATTTGCGCAATATTTTTATAAAATTTTTTATTGCCCTAAAATTACTTAATCTTTTGTGTAGCAAATTACTGCATGATAACACTTGAAACCAAATTTTCACATTTTTTTTAAAAAAAAATAAATGATTAAAAATTTACTTAATTTTACAAAATAATCAAGAATTTTGTTTTTCTTTTCAAATTTGAGTAATATTCCACACTTATATAAAAGCAAAATGCTCTAAGCAAATAATTTAAATTTTTAAATCGTTTGGCATCACGCAATGACGTGAATGCATAGACGTAGCAGCAAAAATCCGTATAATAATTTAATAAAAAGTATTTGCAAGCAACAAAATTATTTGATTAATGAGATATACATACATGAAGTTTAATTATTGCAAATCTTCAACTAGTGCGTGGCATTGAACGTTAAGGATTCCATAATTTGCACAAATGTTCTTCAATCAACGATTTTGCATTCTGATGGAAGTTTCCAAGTACCTCAAAATACTGAAATTGTTTATGACAAGTTATAATGAACGAAGTTATCATCATATCATTATCATTAAAATTTTTATAGTATTCACGATGATTTGAATTATTACAATGATTACTAAGTTATTATCATACCATTATCATTAAAGTTTTTATAACATTTACGATGATTACTAAGTTATCAGCACATTATTTTTTTCAAATATTGTCTTTAAAATTAGATTTTAAAAAGTGAAAAATAAAAAAAAGCTATCAAAAATATATATTTGTTGCCAATTATTGAGGATTAATTTTTAGTAAGCAAAGTGATTTTATCTTAAACTTTTGAATTCAATTTGCCAATATTGTTCTATATTTTCAGTAAATGCTCAAAAAACATAAAACAATTTTCATTTGTTTAAATAAGCAACAAAAATTAAATCAAAATTTAACAATAAAAATTTTTTAAAATTTCATTAAAATTTGTTCTTGCTGATAAAAGTAGGTAAAAAAGTTTGATTTAAATTACAAATTTTTTCATTGTTAATATTTGAAATTATTTTATATTAGCAGCACGATGCAAAAATTTGAACTCTGACATTAAACAGTTCTTTCTGATGTTCTTCCTTGTCAACATCTAAGTGCTCAGGAAAAGCTGCAACTCGCGCAGCTTGCTGATCAAACTCGATGACCATTCGCTCATAAAACTTACCTTTTTCTTCGACCATATCTGTGGTTCGAGTTTGCTTCAGCTAAAAGATCAATCATTTAAATTTAATGATTAATCAATTATTTATTATATATTAATAAAGAAATTCATAAAATACCACTATTGAATAATAATATTTTGCATTCATATTGTAAAAACAATTTCAGTATTTGAGGTTATTGAGAATAATTTTATTAAGTATAGCAAATAATCACAGGAATTCAAATGAACATTAAAGGGTTTTTTAATTTAAATTTTATAAGCAATAAAAATTTATGACGGCCTCATGTCTTGCAGCATCCATAATATCTCGAGCTTGCATCAATTTCTTCTGAGCTTCAATCATTGCTACTCGTTCCTGTGCTACAAAGCGTCGCATTTTACGAATAGATCGACGACCTAAGAAAACTTAAAATTTACAAACAAAATTTTGAAAAAAATTGAATTATAAAAAAGATTTTAAATTCAGTGATTATTTTTTGCAATAAATTGTTAATTAGCTGCACAAAATTTTGTTTTATAAATATTCAAAAATTATCTTTATAAAAATTAAAATTCAAAGTTAGTGTAGATTTGAATTTTTATAAATCAAAATTACTGATGAAAAAATAATTAACGTTATTATTATTTTGCGCTACAAATCTATGGCAGTATAAATTTTGTTTGACGTGTTTTTCAATATTTTTTTGCAAGTAAATATTAATAAATAATTGAATGCATTGGGAACACTTCAAAAAATACTTCGCATTTCTAATACACAAAACAAATGATTATTAATTAGAATATTTTATATTTATCTTTAATAACATTATTATGAATTAAAATTATAAAACCTTTTATTTGCATTTCTCTATTCATTATAGCTAGGCGTTTTACAACAGCTTCTGCAGTAATTAATGTTTCCTAAATACAATTTTCTAATAAAAATTAGGAATGTTGTTTGCATTGAATTTTTTTATGATAACAATTTTTACAACTATATTTCCAGTATTATGATAGATGGATTTAATTTATTCATGTAATTAAATTATAAAATTTACTCATGTATTTAAATTATAAAATTTATTCATGTAATTAAATTATAAAATTTACACATGTATTTAAATGGTAAAATTTATTCATGTATTTAAATTATAAAATTTATTCATGTATTTAAAATCTGACAGTAAAATTATACACCGAATTAATTTTTAAAAATAGTGCCATCAGTAAATTGGTTGACAAAATTCATTATTTGGTTTAAAAAAATTTATTACAATTGTTTCATTTCAGTACACTTTGAATATTATTTGGAAATTTGAGTTAGGTGAAAAAATTAAAATTTTTAATTATTATAATTCACCCTTAAATTCTTGCCAAATCACATCGTTGATTATTATTATATCAATACATATCACTTGTGATAAGAATCAAAATTGTTTGGATAATAAATAAGATATTACCTTAGCCAAAAAATTCGTGATACTATGGCAGTTAAAATAGTAATCAAAAGTATCGTAATAAAAAATCAGTGATTATATAAATTAGTTTAATATTAATATTAATATTGATAAGTTTATTCAAAAAGTGATTTTTTATTTGCGCTTCACTATCACATCATTATTGTTAACATATACAAATAATGTTAAGAATTTTTCTATGAAAGCAATTTCCAATCAGATTGAAGTTAAGAATCATACACGAAATCACAAAACTGCTAAGATTTCTAATAAAAACTTAATTTTTTCGCATAACTTATTTTAAGGTAAATAGGTCAACTTACTTTAACATTTTCATGCTGCAAAGGTCGAAAGGCCTTAATACTGTGAGCAAGTATTTCATATGGATCATTATTTTCAGCACATTCTATATTGCCTTGTTGAAGGACACTTTCATCGTTTTGCAAAACATTTTCCAATTTATCAACCAAACTATCAATATCTTCTTGATATCTATATGATTATGTATTTAAAATTTCAAAATGAACTGATAAGCGTCATTCACGTCATGTACTTAGATGACGTGAATGACGCATTACAGAAATGTTAAAATTTACTAGCAATAAGTATAAATAATTTTTTTGCTATTAAAATTCAAGTATTTTCACATTAGTGAGTACATCAATTTAATACTTTTATTGATTCGGTAATTTTTATTTTTTATTATTTTTATTAGTTTTTATTTTCCTAATATTATTCATCATATCGTCATATGCAGATCATAATTTGCATTTTTGGTATGAATTTGATTTAAAAAAAATGAACTGTGATTATTCATTTTAAAATTATTTGAAACAAAAACATCAACTAATTAATTCATTTTAATAAAATGGTTGTTTCGTACTTTAAAATAATTCATAGTAAACTAATTTATGAATTAGAACAAATATGATTTTTTTCTCCTTAAGCACTAATGTGAGAAAACTTGAATTTTAATATTTTAATTAATTTTAATCTCAATTTTAATCACTTTAAAATTCACTTGTAAAAGAATAATAGTGATAATAATGATAACAACAGTAATTATAACAATAATAATGATAATAATTTTCAATATATTATAAAAAGTGTTATTTGCATATTTGATTCTGTAATTGATCAAAATTACAATGATTAAGACAAAAAAGTTTGTAAACCATTGATGTTTTATTCACGTACTTGTAATATTTTTCAATTTCCGTGACAAATTCAGGCGCAAGACGCGTTTGCTCAACGATCCCAATACGTTCACCGACCTATTGCAATATTTTATCGTTATATGCAATGAAATGTTTTTCAACAAAAATATTTAATAATTTTTTTTGGAATAAAAATTTTCAATAAATAAGCAACTGATTAATTAATAAGAATAGAGAAGTTGGTTTGCTCAAAACTCGTTTATATTTTGTATTTTGTTATTTTGGACAATTTTCTAATTTTCAAAAATTTTTTTCTTAAATAATATTTTCAAATGTTTACTTTTTTGTTTGGCTGATTTTGAGTGTACAAAAAGCAATTTACAGACTTGTAAGTTAATTGCACAAATAATTGAATACTTCAGAGCTTGCTTGAAAATTTGCAAAATAAATACGCTAAGTAATTGATGATGGATTTCAGAATAACTTTGCCATTTATTACTTGCAAAAGTATTAATTAAAAAACTAAAATAAATAATTAATAAGCTTATGATTGATGACATTTGTAACGCACTTTGAATAAAAGTTTGCCTACAGGCCCTCGTCTTTTCTTTTTTTCAGATTCTTCATCTTCAAGAATGGCAGATGCTGGAATGGATTCTGTATATTGTGAATCTTTGCTTGAAAGATCTTTCTTGCCAGATGATACCTTTACTGTAGATTCTTTCTTTTCTAATTCTTTTGTTTTCTGTTCTTTTTTTACATCTTCTTTTTCTGAAACTTTTAAATCTTTTTTGACATCTTTTGAATCTTTCTTGACATCCTTTGATTCTTTTTTAACATCTTTTGAATCTTTTTTAACATCTTTTGAATCTTTTTTAGCATCTTTTGAATCTTTTTTAACATCTTTTGAATCCTTTTTGACATCCTCTTTTGAATCCTTTTTAACATCCTTTGAATCTTTTTTGACATCGTTTGAATCGTTTTTGACATCCTTTGAATCTTTTTTGAAGTTTTCCGAAATTTTTTCAGAACTTTCTTCCATATTGCGCGCGTAGATTTCTTAGCAACCGCTTTTTTGCTGATTATTTAATATCAAGAAATGACTTTTTCTAATGTACTCTACTTTTAATCATTTATTTCTATAATTAGTATGTAAATTCAGTATTGCTATAATTAAAAATGAGGCAGTCATTTGCAAAATTTAATTTGAATTTTTATGGTAAAACTATTTGCATTGCACAAAATTTCAGTACATTTAATTAACAAATTTAGTATTACTTAGCATAACACAACTAAAAATGATAAACTTTCGTTTTTTTTTTTTAAAAAAATTAATTTAGCAAATAGTTTAAATATGGTTACCTAACATAACAACACCAGCGAAATTCTTCCAAAACTGGAAAAAATCTCAAAACTGTCAAGGCAAAAATCATGCGAGTTTCTTCGTTGAATTGTGCCAAAATTTAAAAAAGTTGAAAGAATTCTTCAATTTGACAAAATATCAGAACAAAAGTACTATTCACTCTTATTAAATCTACTAAAAATTGCTGACAAAAATTTCACGTAACTTAGTTACGTGTGTTAAGATATTACTTTCAAGTAACATTGTTACGTATGTTACGATATTGTTACAAGTTTAGTAAATAACATCATCTGTTGGCAATGAAAATGTCAAAATAAATAAGCTTCGATAGCATTATTTTCAGATTTAATGAAGAATTGATGCATAAATTTAAATTGAAAATTTCACTTTTGACAAAATAATTTTTGCAACTGATTACAGCTCTTTATATCATTTATGATTTATGATTTGAGAAGTAAATTATATGATATCATGATTATTTTGAGAAAATCTCAAAAAATTCGTTTTATGTCATTAAATATTTTATAAAATGTTTACGCTCCAATTATTTTAAACGTTTTCATCACTTATAGATATACTTTTTGCGCAGAATTTACGTCATGTAATTAAATCAATAGTAATATACATAATCAATAAAAAATAATATAAATAAATTTAATAAATGTTTACGAGTATATTTTTAAATAATTTTTATCGTTTGAAAAATAGAACAAATTTTTTTTCACTCAAAAAACAAGCAGATAAATGTTAGTAAAATTATATTTTCAGTAAAATTGCAAGTGAACAATTTATTTAAATTTACCAATTTTTCACTCTTTTCCACAGCAATTAATCAAACTTTTTTCACAAATTTTCAAATTTTGTAAAAAATTTTATTAAATTTTTAATTTGTTTATTTTTAATTGTTGTGAACAAATTAAAAGTTAGGCATAAAATTTGCATAATATTTTTTAGCAGAATTTTTAGCTGCAATATTTTTAATTGTAAAATACTGCTGCTATTTGTTTTTGTAAAAAAATTAAACTTTATAATATTTACTCTTTTTCAATCACTAAGTGATCATTTTGTGTTTAAATTTGGTAAAATAAGCTAATTTTACTTAATTTAATTTATTTTTATTAAATTTTTCTAATTTTACGAGAATTTTTTTAACTTAATTTAAAATATTTTCATTTATTTTTACTTTTTAAAAATATTTTTTTAAAAGCAATATGGAAACTTTAAATTTTTGAGAAAAAGTTTGTTGTAGAAAATGACGAAAAATTTTTTATAGTTTTTATATTTCTTTTCGATATGATCGACTTAAAATTATGTGTAATCCATCGTTATTCATAATTTTTTTTATTATTTTTTTCAGTGTAATATGTAGTTATTATTTTGCCATCTTAATTTGCATGAAATTTGAGATAGAACGTAAATATGGATTACGTGATAAGTTAAATCACTATACATCATACGTACAACGCGTCTTATCTACGATTTATTTAAGCACGTAAAATATGTCATTTTAAATCTCAACATTTTTTGCACAATTTTACTTGACCTATCAATAAAATCGAATTTAATACTAATTTTTGATCTCTAAGAAAATATTAATTTGCATAATTAAAGCACTGAATTATATAAAAATACTAAACTTGTAACATTATTGCTTACTTCTAAAGTAAGTAAGAAATATTGAAGTAAATTCATGAAAAGTATAATATTTATCCAAGAATATGTTTGATATTAAAATTTGATATTGTAGTTTATTAATTATCAATTTTTAATTTTTATTTAAATTATAGCAATCATTTATTTGCAATTTTTAGACAAGTGTGTTTGCATACTTTTCAGTTTATCGAGAATCGAAAATTTTTTTCTAGCAAATCTTGATGTCTGACAGAAATATGTACAAGTGAAGAATTAATTCTCTCAATCTAATAAACTTTTTAAAAGTAAACTAACTTACTAACTTATGACTCATTAGTGAACTGCTTTACTTTAGATAAAATTTTAACTTAAAACAAAAAGTTTTTTTTTTTTTTTCTGAAAACTTTCTTAACCTGTTTATATTTACTAATTTTTGAGCAATTATTCGAAAAATTTTTTATCTTTACATTGACTAGTATGGCACTCTTTAAGCAATATTTAAGTAAAAGATGTAAATAACAAAAAACGTACGCATAATTTTGCGTCAGAAAAGTTTAGACTTTTTTTCTTTGTATAATCGATAGAATTTATTGTCCTCTACTAGACTGAACTAGCCAAGTCTGGCTGATTTTTTAATTTTGAACACTCTAAGCGTTGATTCTTATGGCTTAGCAGCACTTTTCATCTCATTTCTAGGCCACTTGTGCATCCTTCGATTGTTTGTCTTTTTAGCTATGCTAGCAGTATGAGTAAAGCATTTTTTTTCCATTTAGATCGATCTTAAAATAATCGTCTTAATTTGCATATATGCAAATTTCACTTTTTTTGTGTTTTATTTTTTTCACGTTTTAATCAATTAATACGTTAAAATCATTTTTGTTCTGATTTTAACTCAACTCCAATTCAAACTTATTTGCTTATTCATTTTCTTTTCAAAAAATTTAAAATTACCAAACGCATATTAGTTTAATTTTTTTGTGCATACACAGTGCATATTTTTTTGCATAATAATAACTTTACTGAACATTTTAGCTTTCACCTCCTAGCTTGACTGTTTATTTAAGTCTGTAATAACCTTTGACTTTTTTTAAATTCATTAATTGCTTAATTACAGAGTAGAAAAGTTTATAATTGCAGTTATTTGTAAACATCATAAACTTTTATTTCAGATTATAAGCCAAAAATGATTCAAATAGCTATTCGACTTCTGTTATAGAATGTGGAATTTAAAATTCTATCAATTATTGAAAATGATGTCAAGGAAATTATACATATCCATGCCATATCTACTCAGTATTCCCATAGCAACGAGACCAAATAAATAAATAAATGTTTTTTTCATCACTGAATTCTTTTTTCTAGAAGCCTTTGCACTGAAGGCATCAACTAGAAGAATTTCAGATGTCTGAGAGGGAACTTCCTTGAATTACTTCTTAAATATCAGAATTTAAAAAGGCTAGCATTAGATTTATCAATGCTTAATTTAATTTAGGCTCTATAAAGCCTTATTATTAATACGAATTAGCTAAAGTCTTACTTTTCAAATGGTCGATTAGTAATTATTAGCAACAAATTTTTAAAATAAATTGTTTAAAATGAGAAAAAAATGACACAATTTAGCAACACTTCCACTCATTCTTTTAATATTTGTATTTTTTTAAACTTTTCAATATATTATATTCAAATAAGAGCAAAATCATCTCGCTGTTAAAGAAATTTGCATAAGTTTGAAAATTCTCTGAGAAAAGAAATTTGCATAAGTTTGAAATGATATTATTTATCCTTTTAAAAAAGTTATAATTTTGAATATCTAAAAGAAAGTTATTAAAAAAATCATTTTGGTTTTTTTTTTTTTTTTT